CGCACTTCTAGAGTGTTTCACACCTTCGTTGGTGCCCTTCAGCTTTAAACCTCTTTTCCACCTGCTGAGAACCAGCTGAGTTGTGTCAGGAACTAACTCCTTGGCCTGTGGCACCTCAGCCTTACCCATCTCACCAAAGTTTGGCCAGCTCTCAGCAGAAGGGATTTTGACAGCTAGAAGAATCATATCCTTGTCTGGTCATGTGCTTGTGAGTCTGACTTTCCTGCCAGGGCCTCATGCAAGTTATCATGTCTGTCTACTTCACTCAGCCTGCTGACTGACAAGACTTGTTCTCACGGCAAAGCTTAAGTATAGTTTCTTATCTGGTTATTTATATACATTGCCCATTGGATTCTTGGGGATCCCACAACATGTATATAACTTTCTGTCTTCCTCCCCCGCAACGAAGTTGCACGTTTACCAGTCTAAAAGTCTTCCCTGATCTAATTAAGACTAGGAGAATAGTTGCATCCTTTCAGACATGAAGATTACTAATCCAGTATCCTAAAGATACTGTCTCTCACTTGGTTTTCCCACTGTGATAAATGTTCTTCCCCAAACAGCCCACACAGGAATGTGATATTTTTATGGGTCCCTATTTTTAAAATGTAAATTCATCATTGTTTGGAAGGCCTGGATATTTAACATCCCTTTCGAATGCTAATTTTCAGTGATTACTTTTCTTTAGGCTTTGAGCTTCTCCCAAGGGACTCATTACCCAATCCTGGCCCTATTGCAATTTAAGAAATAGATTTATATCAAATACCACAATTCATATAAACCTAAGGATGTTAAGGCTGAACACAACTTGATGCTACTTATACATACAGACTATACATGCCATATCAGTAAACAAACTCAAGGAAACATGCATGACATCCTATGAATATAATGGGACTCATGACAAGTATTCCTGCAACATGAAATGCATGTCCATGAAAACACCGAATAAAGAATTTTTGGGGTCAAGAGTTCCCACCCTATCAGGCTTGTACAGAACCAGCAGATTCAACACCTGCTGCACATAGCTAGATCTGTTAGGTTGCACAAAAGTGCTGTGCACTAACAACTGGCACTACACTGGCCCTGTGGGACCACTGCAGGTGTGTGGTTCAAGAGAGACTGAAGTGCCTTAGGTTTTTGACTGTCTGAGACTAGGAAAAAAGTTAGCAACATGCAAAAGATGCATCATTTTTCTCTCCCCCTGGCTGCAAAGAGGGCTGATGTGAAATTCTGAGATGGCTTGAAACCTCAAACTATCAAATACATTACAGTAAGAAGCTTATCTCATTTCCCCACACCTACATCCATCATTACAGCTCACAAGTCAAGCACATTGCTTGCTGCAGCTAAAATGCAATAGCAGTTAAACAACAGTGAAACTATTAATATTGGCAATTAAAATGGCAACAGTAAGACCTCAACATAACCTTTCAAACTAACATGGGTGGGGAGAGTCTGCACTTCTGAGAACTATTGTTTTAGGCCACTTACAGATTCAGGAAGACAACATTAAATTAGTTCACAACAATAAAAGCTAGATTCCGACTTTCTTCTGAAACTGAAAAACTGTTCTGCTTTGTGATAAAGTCTATGACAAGAGACTGACCACAATCCTCTTGAAATAGCTTCATAGCTAACTACTCCAACTGATCCACAAGCAAAAGTGATAGTATCATACATCTACATCAGTGGTTCTCAACCTTTCTAGACTCAAAGCATCCCTTGTTAGACTCAGAGAACCTTTAGGCAATTCCAGCTCTTAGTTTTCATTCTTTCTTTGACTACAGAAAACTAACAGCAATTATTTTGTTGCAAAAAACTCAGACCACAACAGGGCAGAAAGTTCTTGACACTGGATTTGTATTTAAAATCTCTGGGTTAAGCTTGTATATTGTGTTCACATACCTAACAGAGCACCCATGGCATCCTTGAAAGGATACAAGGGTACCTGTCTGAGAATCAACAGTTTACATCTTCACCTATACAAATTCTGTCTGTACTACACCAAACCAATGCATCCAAAGCAGTATATTGGTCCCACAAAAATTTTGTGATGTAAAAGGCTTTGCTTCTTTATTGCATACATTAATTCATTCCCACCAATTAACAGGTCATGCAAAAGCTTCAGGAAATAGACACAGCGTGCTAGACAGTCACCAGCTTAACTCATGGGAAAGGATATTCCTTTGTATTTAGGCTAAGGCAACCAGTTTACTATTTCACCTTACAAATCTATAAAAAATACCAGTCTTTTTTAACCAGTGTAAATTTATTTCTTCCTCCATCAGTCCAAGAAACTAACAAGAAGGCATGCCTTAATTCAATGACTGTCACAGGTGAACTTTCATTATAAATTCTTATCAATTTACAGGATACTGTAAGCTTTTCAGGTTTACTTGCGTATTCTAATGAGAAAACCTCTACATTACAGAAACAATAATTTATACAACTTCTCTCCATTTTACAAGGAGGATGAGAATATTGGGTAATGTTTTAAAAAAAATGCAACAAGAGCCAGTGGGGAGGCGGAGGCAGCGGGGAAGAGGGAAGCAGGAAGGCAAGGGGGGTGACTGGTGGCTGTGCCCTGCCGTGACCACCGCCACAACTGCCGTGGTCATGGGCTACAGGCCAAAGCAGAGTGGGGGAGCAGCCTCAGCCTGAAGTGGCACAGGACACAGACCCAGCCCCAGCCCAAAGTTGCAGGGGGAAGGTGGGGAGCAGCCATGGCCCCGGCCACTGGTGGGGGGAGGGGGCTGGACGCAGGTCTCTGTCCCTGCCTGCCTCCTTCCCATCATTCTTGAGAGAGAGTGTAAAATCTCATACAATTTCCCTCGGTCTCTATCCAATTTGTTTTAAGTTAACTTCTTGTTGAACTGCTTTGTTATTTTAGAAAGTGACATATTGTAAATATGCTCTATTAACTAGAAAACAGGGTAGAAATCTGGTTTTACAAGACCATAGCTATTGGTATTCTAGTTTGTTTTCAAACAGGTGTTAATGCTTCTTATAGTTGTGTTAACCATGGTCCATACCCTCTAGCCTCCAAAGCACATAAAAGCAACACAAAATCCTGTAGAGCTACACTATCACACCCCACCCATACCATGTTTTCTGGTAGCTCCCAGATCTACCATGATTCAGCCTCATTTCCTCGTACACATCCTAGAGCTCCATAAATAATTGCCAGATCTCAGCCCCCAAGCCCCGCTCCTTCGTTTTGAAGCATGATGATATCCTACGCAAGTTCACTGGAAAATTCAGTCCAACCTTCTTCCAAGTAGTCTACTTGACAGAATATTTACTTATCAAAACAAGACGTTTCTACACAGAACATGTTCTGGCCTGGACGTTCTCTACTATTATAGAGGCTTTAGCTAAAAAATTCCTTGGGGGGGGGGGCACCAATCCTTTACGTACAATATTTAGAGAAAAAGCCAAAGGTTAAAATCAGAAGAATAAATGCTCTACTGATGAATGTGATTATTCTAATTTATATTCTAAGGTGGAGTTTTAAACTACTTCCCTCTCTCTGTTAGAGGCTACTTTATTATATCCAAGTAGTCTTCTAGGCTGCTGGTGAAGAAAGAGAATTCACTTAATTCCTTCCATTTGCAACAGGTTCCATACATGCAGGTTTCAGAATCTCTTAATGTTATGGCCATCTACTATACAGAAAGGACAGAAAGCACTTGTACTTTAGCACTTCACTTGTCTGACCCAGACCTTACAAGAAAAAGGTTTATTAAGAAATGCTCCTACAAGCATGGGGGAACAAAAGCCAGACCGTGGGAATCTCTTTAGAGTTTACAGAACCTTTTTCATACTGATGTACTGGCTTTCTTCGATCATGAAAAAGAACAGTTGTTCTTCAGAGTTACCGGACAGTAAAGAAAGATTCACAAAAATGATACCACCACTGAGAATGGCCGTTTTACAAAAAATTTCCGAAAAAGTCTTATTTTCATCTTTGATTTCAGGTACCATAAATGTGAAGCTTTATTCTGATAGGGAATCCTATTAAACCCATATATTTAAGCAGAAGAAACTAAATGGCTTCTGAAAGCTTAAACTGGTTGCACAAAGGTGTTCCCGTCATCCACAGTAGAAAAGTGTATTTTTCCCAGGTTGAAGCAATTTCAACTCTGATCCCAAATGGCTATTCTTCCACCAGACTGCTGAACTTCGGAGAACTCCTTGGAAGAACCCAACTGAGTCATCTCCAGTCAGTCCACGTATGCTAGGTACAGGCATCTCATCTTGAGCTATGCCTTTATTTAGACCAAATCATTCTCAAGAGCATCTACCACAGAGAGCTATCAAAATGATTAAATCCTCTGCTCATGCACCTGACCTCTCAATTACAAGCATATGAGCATCCCCATGAAGAAGATGAAGAGCAAGTCAAGTTAGACTGGCAGTTCTCAACTCAAGTACATCCTCCTTGTAAAATTTAAATCGAGACCCCCTCAGAAAGCTTTTGCTGCGTGTCTGACTGACAAAAGATAACAGGGGCATAGGTTAAAGCTGTGTTGGTCTAAGGACATGGGTAGACAGTGATCTTTGGGTAAATACAATAGCTTTTATTACACAGACTCAAATTAGTTGGGGCTCACCTGACGGATTCCTGTTTGAAAGATCTGGGTTTATTTGCTAGATCCCCTTTGCCCACCCAGGAGCGCTCATGCCATGCAGCGGTCCTGACAGGATGTCAAGTCACCCAAGGGTGCTGCTGCAGTGCCATGAGCACCCCCGAGTTGGGACCGTGACACGACTGACAAGTCCCCTGGCTCTCGCGGGCAGTGACGGAGGAACCTGTGGGAAACCCCTGTCAGACAGGGCGCTGCGCGAGGTGGCCTCGGTTCCGGTCCCCGCCTCGCCCGACGGGGCAAGGGGCACCCGGATGCTCAGGTCCAGCACCCGACCGGGGAGAGGAAGGGGATCCCGGACTAGGGTTCGCGAGCGCCGCCCGCCGCCGGCCACACCACCTCCACACTCACCATAGCGCCCCGCTGCCAGCCACATCACACTTCCGGCAGCAAAGGGGCGGGACCGGAAGACATAGGAGCCTAAGGTCCTTCTGATTGGCCTCGCAAGGCCGGGCGCCGCTGAGCGTTCTGATTGGCGCGGGGGAGCGACGAGGAGTGGGAACGCGGAAAGGCCGCCGCGGCCTGCGATTGGCTGTGCTGAGGCCCGCGGTGAAAGCGGCCTTTCCAGGACACCGGAAGCGGCGGCGCCTGAACGAGGTAGGCAGCGAGCGACGCGCCCCTCCCCTGCCAGAGCTTGGGGGAGTGCTGAGGCGGGGGGAGCCCTTGCCCCGCCCCCGAGTGAGGCAGCAGTGCGCGTGCGCCCGCTCTCCGGGGCGGGAGAGCGCAGCTCGGCTGAGCCGGGCAGTGCGGGGTCGGGCCCCTCTCCCGGTTCCAGGCCTGGTGCTGACGGGCCGTAGTGGCCTGGGGCCCCACTATAGTTCCGCCCTGCACCCAACGTGAGCCGAGGCCGCCCCTGGTTTGCTTTGTGCGGCTGAGGGAGCGGGTCGGAACCTCCCCGCGCCGCCCGCCTTTCTCCTGCCCCTGTCCCAATGCCAGTCCCAGGGGACGCCGGGCCTGAAGAAGGCGGCCCCGGGCCTGCAGCAAGGCTGTGCCGTCCTGGGGCCCTACCACGCGTTGCCTGCACCAGGCTCCTGGCGACTCGCGCAGTACATGTAGGCGGCCACGAGTGCCAAGTCATGCAGTTGAGTTGTGAGTCACGCAAGAAGTTGAGAGCGGCCCTAGGTTCAGAGTCGTGGTCACACATGGAAAATGAGCCTCCTGCTCTAGAAAAGAACCAGCTGGCTGTTTGGGGAACGGCTCCAGAGCTAGTTTCTATCCAGCTGTCATTTGACCATGTAGTAGGGTTGCCAACTCTGTTTGAATCTGTCCGGGGCAGTTTCCAGACTGCCAAACGCAACGTGAACGTGCCCATGTGCTTGTGTGTATCAGTGATGGATTATGGTGCGTAGACTTTATGTCAGGAAGGCAAATGCACCTGATTATTACATTTAAAAAAACCCCCACTGGACTACTGTATAAATTGGAGTCAACGTTTAATATTTATTTTAATGAATGCCTTATCATTTATCTCCCAGGTGACTCTCAGCAAGCTCCTGGAGATTTATGTCTAATTCCTGGAGACTCCTGGAGGGTTGGCAATGCTAACATGTAGCAGGGCCCTTCACCTTTGCACTTAGTGGGACTTCGTGGTGCCTATAGACATGCAGAGCACTGTCTCTGATGCGCTGTAATGTAATTATGATGTGTCGGAGCAGACTCAGTTCATCGAGTCTTGATGAACTGAGTCTGCTGGAGCATGCTAATTAGCACACTAGCAGCCTTGGGGGCTTGTGTATTCAGCATCCCCATGCTTCAAAATGATGCCAGGAGCTTTTTAACTAAAGCTCATCGAATGAGCTCTAGATAAAGAGCACCCCTGCTGGCATTTTAAAGCATGGAGATGCTGGATGCATGAGACGCTGTGGGTGCTGTAATTAGAGTGGGTCTCTAGAGTGGGTCTCTGGAGCTGCTCTGCTTGACACCCCCGCCCCCCCAGCACATGTAAAGATGTCCAGTGTGACCAATTTCCCACAGGTATGCAGGGCTGGCTTGCAGCCCTGAAGCTGACTACCTGTATTTATTTTCAAGATCCTAGGAGCCAGAGGCTGTTATTAAAAGCCTTGGGTTTGGCTTCCCTTGTTTTTGAGACTCACAACAGCTTTCCCTATCCCTGTTTCTGGCTCACTTAAAGGGAGTAACATTACAATGCTGACAGATGGAACTAGCATGTAGTTTACCTGAGTACAGTTAAAGATAAATAGTGAGATTATGCATGTTACACAGATAACCAGTATTTATTATTTCTAAGAAAAAAGCAACAAATTGGGACTGGCAGTATAGGTCTAAGGGGAATGCATTGTGGTTGAAATCCTGCAATTAGAAACTTGTCCATCTCTTTGGAAGGGGAATCAAGCATTTGGTCTTCCCTTGATATGTTCACAAACTCATACTAGTAACATCTTGTTGCTTGATGTCCTGTGACAATCTAGACAAGGTGGTGTGTGCAGCTGCTGTGTGTGGCATGTTATAGATTGGGGAGGGGACAGGCAGTATCGTGGCAGGTAGTGCAAGGAGCAGATTGGGCCGGGATTGCAAGTAAGGAAGCAGAAATCAGAGCAGCAGATTAGACTGGGGGCGCAGGGCTCGGAGCAGATTGGGCAGGGGAAGGCAATTGCAATGGAGAGAGTGGGGCTAATTTCTGGCACGACTGCAAAAAAGATTGGCACCCACTGTACTAGATTGGTCTATGAAAACTTAAATGTATAATGGATCTTCTTTACATTATACCTACAATCGTAGAATAGTGTCCAATCTGTGAACAGATGTTTATATGGTTGATCTTACATTATAGGGTGAACTCATTGTATTATATAACCCAAGATATGTAATAACTGCACACATATGTAAGGGTTACATTTTTACCCCTTTTATCTATATCTATTAAAAGTCATGAATTTCAATCCTATAGATGTTTAAAGTAGTCTGTGTGCTATATAGGTTGTTGGCTTAATTAAAACATTACATTTTTAAGAAACATTTTAGATTATAAATTCTATAGAGAGACTCACATCTGGCAGCTGGTTTTAAAGAAGGTCTACCTCTACCATCCAGGGCCTTTGAAATGGATAGTATTTAATTTGTTGGCTCACCATGAAACAGATGTGGTGTTTGTTTTTTAAACGGAGTATTTTTTTAAGCAGTTAGCTTTGATCCTCTGAGGAATTTCAGGAAAACAGGACTACATGTGTGATGGCCAATTTGGAGTCGAAGAGTTTCTTCACGATTATGATATATTTGCAGCAAGGTGCCTACATTTGATGTCATGTCTTCTGAAAGTTTATTACACCAATAACCTAATGTTGCCCTTTCCAAGACTAGTGATTCTTAAAGAATGGGAAAGGCTATATCCATGCTTCAAAATGATAGTTTTATTTTGGGTTCTCTTTATTAAGGTTTACTATTTAACTGCAGTACATTGTTTTCAGCCTAAGTTGTTATACAATGCAAACATTAGTTTCTTTTCTTCACTGGGCATTGGGGAAGAAGAATTACACTCCTCCTGTGGGAGATAGAAGGTTAACACTTGATATAAGCAAATACTCCTTTAGGAAGTTGCACAATGGTCAAGAATGGAAATACAAACACAGTTATACTGAATGTAGGCAATCTGCTGTTTAAACAACCATTTAAACATAACTGACATACACGTATCAAAAGGTCAGAGGTCCTTTTGAACCTAAGATTTTTTTTCGTAACTAACAGTATACAAGGGAGCAGAGTAGCTAATGGGGCATCCAACTGTTTTGCTCCCTAGCCCAAATGACCAGGTTGTGGTTGACTGGCCAAAGACCTCTTTAGGACAAATCTAGAGCAGGGCTTGAACTTGTGTTGCTGGAGCAGGAGCAAGGTGCATCACTCTGCCACTGCATCCCTTAAAATAAATATATAAAGCACTTAATGTGTTTATATATTCTGGCTTTGCCTTTTCAAAGAACCCAGATTAATAGTTCATGTGATTTCAGTTGTCCAGAAGAGGACCCTAAATTTCAATTTCTAATTTGCAGTGTATTGATATTGATATCTGGAACTTTCTGCTAAAAGATTGGTAAACAGAATTCAGGTTAGGTTGATTTATATTAGTTTTTATTTAAATTACTGGTTTTTGTCATGGTGTTAAGCAGCAAGCAAAACTTAATTTAAATAATCAATTTTAAATCTTGTTTGCATTGGCACTTTTTGGTTATTTTTCAATAGATTTGCAACTAAATCCACTTTGATGCTAGTTCTGCACCTTTTGCTAGTCATGAACATACTTTATATATGCATTTAACAAATTAGTTAAATTATACAGCTTATTCATCAGATTCTTAGTCTCTACATTATATTAGAAAATGATGAATGGCATGCTTTTTATAGATTAAATAGATTTTTTTTTACTCATACTTTTTTCAGGTAAAGTTTGGGTACTAACTGGAATGTAGTTAAATATGCAGAAAATTCACTTTTTCATTCTTGAATTAATATAACAAAATTATGTTAAACTTGTTGATACATGAGAAAAAAGATTATCAAAACTTGTTTACAATTCAGAATAAATGACTTCTGAAATAAAGCAATAATTGTAGCTGATGAGTTAAGCTGATTTTTTTCCTTGTCATCATGCCCTGGATTTTAAAATTCATCTTCTGCATCTCACTCCTAGTTTTATTTAAATATTGAGAGAAGGAAAAAAGAAGGATTTCTAGCTTTTTATCTCCAAATCAAATCCTTTGCTTTGAATGAACAAGTCATTCAACCAGATTAAACTGAAAGGAAGAAAACATTCTTTCTGCACCTGCAGAAGAGGCTACAACTGTCAAAATTTGGTTTATCACTTCAGAAAAGCCTGGTTCCAGATGCTCAGTGAGTTTCTGCAGTTCAGTCCTTTGCCTTCTTAAAACTTTAGCAGTAATATAATTCAATTTTAATTATTTTGATAGATTCTAGTAAATTTAGGCCTAATAGTATTGTCATAATTTCAAATAGATTTGTTTAAAATACATTTAACATAATGATCATATTTTAAACTTTAAAAAATATTTAATTTCTGTATTAAAACATGTATTTGTCTCTGAAATAACTGTCTGTAAGTGATCTCCACTGTACCATTTAAGTGTCTACCAATTTGGACTAGTAGGAGAATTAGACTGTTGTATTTGGTGATAATTTGAAATTACAGAGGACATATAAGGATCTAGGTATGTAGTATGTGCCAATTAAGCATTAATGATCTGAATGCTGAGAACCTCAACGATATGCCATTTGAAAGTTGGCATGTCTAGCAGCACAGTACTTCCTAGGATGATTCTGTGGCATACTGATTTAAAGATTGCCTCCTTCTGAGCCTTTAACATAAAAGTGTACAGCTTTTTCCTCACAAGTTCCTCTACCCAGCTGTTGACTGGGTTTAGCTTAAGTTGAGGCACCTAGGC